TATTGATAGTGTTGCGGTAGAAATTTGGAGATCCAGGTGCAAATTCCCACTGAACCAGGAGAAACACTGAATGACTTTTGGTTGGTAATCCTCTCTCAGGCTGACTTATCTCATTAGAGGGTGAAGGAGAAGGAGAGTGTTCCAAGTGTACTGTAATGCCTTGAACTCACAAGAGGAGGTTCCAACGGCCTTGGGAGTCCTACAGCCTGGGAAGGGCCACCAAATGGGCCTTCTCTTCGGTAAACACCGACTGTGCTTGTGAGTGGCAGACCAAGAGAAAGGTCTACCCAGAAGACCTTAAAACTTGAAGACACTCATAAAAGAGAGGTCCTTCAGACAGCCTGGACTCATGTCATCCACGAACTGTTCATTAAGACTTACAGTATATTTTAAAGGCCCCATTATCTAAACAGTAAACTCTCTTGCAGTGTCTGCCACTTTATGCTTTCCAATCAAGCTACAGACATCTAGTCCTTGCCCTGAAATGTCAATTAATTGCAGGGCAGGGGAGAAGAGTCATTCTGCGAGATCGTGGTCTTTGTCCAAAAAGAACAATTATTTTTTTACTTCTGATTTCTAATAACACAACAGGCATTCAATTTATAAAGGAATACCCTATACTGCATTAGGGATGGAATCTCTTATCAAGGCAGCGACAGACATAATAGACTACAGGTTAAAAATATTTTTATTCACTCAGTTATAGTAGCATATTAACACACACTGGAAGTAGAATGATCAGAATCTCATGGGAACCTTTATAAAACCATATAAAAAGAAAAATGCACCCTCAGTCTTCTTGAATGCTTCCCAAGAGGTTCTTGCAAAAATTTAAGTAGCAAAAGGACAAATGTGAAATGTATTTAGAGAGAGTAGGATATCACGTACCATTTCTGAACAGTACATTTCTTCCAAGAAACCAACACAATGAATGGACCACCTTGTAGGAATGAATGGTGTGTTTTCAAAGACTTCCCACAGAATGAATGTCTTCTTGTATTTCAGAATCAGACCCGACTGTGTCATTTCCAGGAGGGGCAGCCAGAGGCATACTTTGATCTCCTTGGGCAGCAAGGTTTGCAGTTAAGGGCAGTCTTTTTGAAGAAACCTTGCTGTTCTCACTTGGAAGGGAACTGAACCTGTTACTGTACCCACTATGTACACTTATACTGGGATCCGACACTGAATGCCGAACAATAACTGGGTGCCTGGTAGAGGAATCTCTTGCTTTTAACTCCACCGACTGGGCACTCCTCTGCGAAGATGCCGCCTGGCTTGTTTTCGACGCATTTGCTTCCATTCTCCAGCTGTCCATTTTATCTTTCATGTCTTGCTGTAAGCTTTCCTGGAACAGACCAATCTCCTGAAATCCTTGCACTTTTGCTGTAGCAGAAGGGACATTGTTTGCAACTTGATACGGACCAAAGTCTTCCTGGAAGGAGACAGGGCTGGGGGCGGCAGCTGAGCCAGTACGCTAGGAGGGAAAAAGCATTTATTTATTTCCTCCTTCAAAAGCAAAGCAAAATGTGTTTATTGCCCCGAAAGTGCTTAAAGCACTCTCTGGGCGGTTTACAATTTTAGTTATGCAGACTCCGCATTGCCCCATCTTAATTTACCAACCTCAGAAGAATGGAAGGCTGAGTGAACCTCAAGCCAGCTCTGGGACTGAATCTGAGTCATGAGCAGAGTTTTTGCTACAGTATTGCAGCTTAACCACTGTGTCATGAGGCTACTTTTTCTGGGGAAAAGGCAGCACAGAAATGGAATTCCCCCCCCCATTCCATTCCATTTCTATGCTGCCTTTCCCCCACAAATGAAACTCAAGGCAGTTTACAGGGCAATTTAACAGAGTAAACTTAAGAGAGAGAGATTCATTCCAGTTTACAGGGCAATTTAACAGAGTAAACCTAAGAGAGAGAGATTCTTTCATTCAAAATATTTTTATGCCGCCTTTCTCCTTAAAAAGAAGCCATATCATTAAAAATAAAATGTGTAGAAGCTAAAAATACAGGTAAACAAATATTTTAAAAGAATTAAACAAGCATTACATTAAAAACAGTAATAAAATCAATGTTAAAACATGTTTAAAACAGAGCACAATACATGTTTAAAAAACCCTCTCAGGCCGCCAGTTATGAAGGGGAAGCCTGCATGCGAGGATTCTGATGAAAAGCCAGTGTGTCCTCCTGCACAGTTGTCTTGGCCACTGCTATCTGCATTTAATTTCCCTTGGACCTTGTTGTGTGGAGTCAACTCCAACCACGAATATCGTACATGCACCCACAAAACTGGATAACATGGCATTTAATATGGTAGGCTACAATCCACAGGCATCGTACAACAATAATTTTGTTAATCTAAGAGCCACAAGACTCTTAGTTTTTGCTAGAACACACCAACACCGGCTACACGTTTGGAAATTTCTCCTTATAATTTTGATATAGTTATAAACTCACAAGCACTTTGGGCTGTGAGGGGAGGTTGTTTTCTCCAAGATAAGACACCCTTAATATACTCAGAATTGCCTGCTCCTTTCTTTCATTTTAGAAGAAAAAGATGGTAGGCCAGCAAGAGCAAATCTCACCAAACATTTCAGCAACACCTTTTAGTGTCCTAATTTATTCCCACCCCTGAAATTTTTGATGGGAAAAAGACTAACAGCCACTAGATTAATTCTGTGTTCAGCACCCGGGATTACAAGTTTTGATGCATGCAGAAATGTCACTGGACTATGTGATAAAGTCTGACCAATGAATTTACGATAGACTGAGAGGATCTTTTTGCCATTATAGTCAAGATGCAGTCAAGACAATTTCCACATGTACATAAATTCTATACATGGCTGGCCTCACAGCTATGGAACTTTCAATGCATGCAGCTTTCAAGAGCAAGTATCAATTATAAGCATTCAGTGACTTTAGTTTTTAATTGATATTTGGAGACCAAAATATGGGAGCAGGATGACATCATTGGACTGTGTCTGTTGTTTGGTACACAGCTGTAGCTGCAAGCATATGTGCATCCATAGCAGCCTCTATTACATTTACAAAGGGATATACTTTCTTATGTAAAAGTCTCGTATTGACCTAACACCGCTGTATTTAACAACCATGATTCCCCTTCTGATGCCTCAAATAGACAACACAGATATTCTGTGGCTTTGAATGAGACCAATTTAATGGAAAGTGCATGATTTGTGACGCAAGGAGATCCATAAAATCAGTCTTGTAGTTCAGCAGTATTTAAAACATACCTACACACACATATCATGAATTTTACTTGTCACCACACTTACTGTGAAATTGTGCACATGTTCATGCCTTTCTTCCTCAAATGACATTTCCCTTGGGGTCAGTGGAGGCTTAGTTAGAGTAGAAGTCATTTGGGGAGCATGCAACAAGCCGAAGTCTGTTTGGTCTATACCAGCCATGGATGCAAGCTGTCCAAGCCTACATGATACAAGAAATCACACAGGTCATCACCGGTACTATTTAGAGCGCACATATACAGAGGGAGGTAATGTCAACTGTGAGTCACTCTGTAACACAAATGTTCTCAAAGCAAACGGTGTATTATGATTTCAAAATGAAACATATGTTTCCATATCAAACATTGGAATCGCCAAACAAAAAGTAACAGAAGCAAACTACAGAATCATAAAATAAAAAGCAACGAAAGCAACTACATTAAAACCAGTTGTCACACACGGCCTCATACTTCAATTATTTGAATCGAAACATCACACACATTTAAAACCACCACCACATCTGGAAGTCCAGGAGAATTAAAACTTTCTGACTGGCACAAAAAAAAAAGAGGTTAGGAGAGACTCAAGGACAGTTCCACTTCTAAATGTGGAACTGAACTAAGCACATTATTTTTGCACTGGAGCAGTCAAGTTTAGAAAAATGAGCCAAAGATCAAGTCAACTTGCTGTCCAATGTCTAGGGAGAAGTACAGAATTAGACGTTAGCACTAAACAAGCTTTAAGATGACACATATAAGGACCTAAACATTTTGGGGCCTCAATAGCTGGCAGAACACCTCCTCCCAGCAGGATTTGCCTGCCCTACTCACAGGTCGCAGGGCAGGCAGTGGGGGGAGACTAACCCTGAGGGAGACCTAGAAAGAGAAGGCCAGGAACGGGCCTTCTCAGCAGTAGCACCACCATTTTGGAACCAACTCCCGTCGGACATCCGCCCAGCCCCTTCAAGGATGTCCTTTAAGAGACTTTTGAAAACGTGGTTATTCAGACAGGTCTTCCAAAATACGACATTCACAGAACCCAGAGTTTTGTCCTGCTTTTAAGCCTTTCACCCACCATCCTGAATGCTTTTATTAAATGTCCTTGTGTTGTATTTTAGTTCTATTTCAACTATTAATACATGTCTACTAATTTTATTGTGATGCTTATGTTGTTATTTAACGTTGTAACTAGTGTTTTATATTGTTGTGAAACACCCAGAGCATCCTTTATAGCCAGATGGGCAGTAGATAAAAAAGTCCTTAAGTTCCTGTCCTCTATCATGCAAGCTACTTTAATCATAATTTATCTAGGGCCCTGGATGTGTTCAAGATGATATCTTGAATAACTTGGGTTTAAATTAAAGGCCACCCCCCCCCCAAGGCTTTGCTTAACTCTGCCAATGATGTGTAACTTGGGTTTAAATTAAAGGCCACCCCCCAAGGCTTTGCTTAATTCTGCCAATGATGTCATCTTCTCCTCTGTGCTTGGTGTAGCTCAATCACCAAGCAACAGCACATTATGTCTATTGAGACAATGAGACAGGCAAGTATTTTTTTAAAAAAAATGTTATTGGTTTTGTGAATTGTAAGCAGAAAACTAGAACTCAGTACTGTCCTGCAAATCCCTAGGAGCTTCTGCCGTTCAGGGTGCATAATAACATTAGAAGACACGTACTATGACAGCTCCCATAGTTCTGAAAAATGTTTCATATCCCGTGGATCAAGACCATGATTTTCAATCTGTTACACCATGCTCTGTTGTGAGGAGCAATACAACTGCTCCTGAAACAAAATGAGCTCATTCCACATGCAGAAGGGCATCTCTGAATACAAACCATTTCTCCTCCTAAATTCCAGTTTCACATCCCGGATTTGTTGCTGAATGCTAACATTAGTCAAACATTCCAAGAACAAAGGAGACTATGATTGGTCTTGTGCTTGGCGATGGGATGTATACAGTTCAGGTTATCCAGCAGTCAGTTTAGTGTCTTGACAGCTTGATGGACACAACCTGATAGGGTTGCTCTGGATCTGCAAGCTATGACAATGTTTTCTGAAACACCATTGCTGTTTTTGAACTCTGTTGTGGCACAGCGACCACAATAACTGAAGAAGGGTCAACCAAAATGAAGATAAGGAGTTTCTCTTACCCAGCATCTTTCAGGAGATCTAAAAAAGCATGAAACTTTTGGAAAGAGCTTTCAATGCTGCCTAGAACTCTTTCATCTTCCAGAATTGTGCTGGCTACCGATTGTGCATGGAGAACCTCCGACAGGGATGAGTTTAGATTCCGTAATCTGGCGTTTTCCATTTCCAGCTATAAGAAACCATGAAACAAACTGGCTTTAAATCCGAAAGGGCTCCTGGTACAGGAAGGAAGTCCAACTATTTAAAGTGCAGTGCACAAGAAAGCACTATCTCCTCTAATTTTCTACCCACCAAAATATTAAACATGTATTTAAGCAGAGGCCATATTCAAAAGTGGAATTCACCACCTTTGAAGAGAAAAATTAATTATACTATACTGCATGCAGTTCTTATAACTTTAAAGATGACAAACTACTGAAAGTCCAGCAAACTAAATTCCTTGAAAATTCCATATTCACCTATTTGAAGAAAAGGTTGAAATGAGATACACATGGGACATAGCTGATAATTTCACTATGAAGTTATAGTCTTTAAAACAAAAATAGAAAATGTGTGCTACCTCTTTTATCCTTTCTTCAGCAGTTACTCTCGCTTTTTGTTCTTCTTTTAATCTTAACTGACATTCTTCATACTCCATCTGTCAAGAAAAAAAACTTGATTTATGTGTTCAAATTAAATTCTTCTAAATATTTTTATTTATAAATTTAAAGTTTTCCTAGCATATTTTTTGCTCTGGGCATCAGAGATTTTTTATCATGAAACACGTCACTTCATATCCAACAAGCAAACTGCTATTATTGTCCCAATATTGTTTCTAGACTATTTCTTATTTGCATAGGTTAATTGACAACATCACATTAAGACAATAAAACAGTAAAAAGGCATTAATATAGTGTTTTGAGAGTTCAGAACTGTACGTCTGCAAGAAATCCAAAGTTTAAAAAACATTTTTTAAAAATACCTAAAACACACCAGTACTCATTAACAGCAATAGCCAAGAAGCAATAATAATAATAAAATCAAGTACACCATATCCTACGAGAAAAAAAGTGACCAGAGTTTAGCAGTAGGGAGTGTATATGCCCTGCACAATGATGGTCTGTGTTAAGTATTATATTTCCAACGCATAAAGAACCCAGCTATGTGTGGCCAAAGCATAGGCAGGCAGGATAACTTCCAGAGATGACCATGCCGGCTGTGAATTCTGTCAGTGGTATTCAAAAAAGAAACCTTTTTCATCTCCAGTTTTTGCCACTGCAGTTCCCACTCACTTATTCAAGTGATTCTTCTTGTAGATCTTCTTCCCCAATGGTTTGCCAGAGATGACGGAGCAGAAAAAAATTCAAGGAAGTTCGAACCGCCTGTATAATGTTCCTTGGCTGCTTCTATCCATATCACAGTTGCTGGCCAAAATCCTGTTCGTTTCACCCGCAAGTGCAATGCAAGCCGTGTAACGTACAGAGACAAACTACCTTAAGTTAAGGAATCAGGGCTGACATTATCTGTTCGGTACTGAGGTGCACGATCCAGCATGCGAAAAGATAACATCCAGTGATTCTTTGACTTTAGGTAATTCCCAAAGATGATACTGTTTCTGTTTAGCCGGCATAAAATCCCAACTGGATTTTGGACTGTATTTGTAATTTATTCTTATTGTCACCCCTTTTAAAGACCTGAAAAGGTCTTTTGAAAAAGTAAAAAAAAAAAAAAAATTACATGGCTACCATGCTGAAGTAGCTAGCCTAGTCCAGGATGAGTGAATTATATTTATCTTTCATATTGTTTAGAACAGTAACTGTACAGTACCTGTAACTGATGGTGATGTTCTAGGTTAATTACTTCTGAAGACTCTGTGGCATCAGCTGCACATACGGCATCTTCTGTGGCACCATCAGTCTCTGTTTCAGATGTAGAAGCACTTTCCACAGTGACTTTTACAGGGATACCAGCCTGCAAACAGTCTTATAGTTAGATCCAGTTATCCCAATGATCTCGTTCTGATGCTGGTTAATGTTTCAATTACAATAACACTATAAATGAATGCTACTGTTATATCAGAGTTCCTTAACCAAATAAAGTAAGAAGGTGTCCTATCAGACATTATTAAAATATAGTCTTAAACTGATTTTTATAGATTAAATTAGGAAAACTTCCATTTGAGTTCTGACTTCGTTTTAGAAGATGCTTACCTGGATTTGCAATGGAAATTCATGTGTCTTCTTCCCTGACGAAGTCCTAAATACAAGTTACATAGTTTAGGAAAAGGGAGGTAAAATCTGATGTTCCGAATATTAATCCACACACATAGCTCCATGAATATCTCAAAACAATTTTTTCCATCCTAAGAAACTGTGTGCAAATGCTTGTGAATAATTCCAGTCAAACTCTCAATTATTCGATTTTACTTCTGCTCAACACAATAACAGTCTATATGAGCAAATTGCTTAAACCAGGTAACAGCTAACGCCTAGCTGTTCAACTCATCCTGTTCTATTATCTCAGTATTACGGTACTTGTTTGGCACATTTATATGCAAACTGGGACGTTCTCCTTAGCAGCTGTGAGTTCAGTCACCGAGACAGAAAACTAACTACAGTATTGAACTCTTTTCCCACTCACACTTAACGTGATGCTAAAGATAATAGCTGTTCTCACAAGCAAGTGCATTAGTTAACTTATCGCTTGCATTTTTATTTAGGTGGACAGGGTGGACTGCAATAACAAACCCATGTGTAGCAACTTGGCTGCATGCGTGGATTTCTGAGTGATCAAACTAGTCACAGCAACGTTAAGTATTTCTTATATCGCAGAAAAAAGCAATGCTTTTCAAAACGATGTTAACAGAGGCATCTAAAGAAGCTGCTGAGCTGCAGGGCACCCAGTAGTTTCAAACAATTTGAGCTTTCCACACATCAGAACTGGAAACCCATTGGTTGTTTCAAAAATGGGATGCAGAAAGCTAGTTGAATGGAAAAGGTGTAAACAATCAAGTGTTTGCCAAAACATTAACCTATTCACAGGCCAACGGTATGCAGTCTGGTTTTCAACAATTGTTTTGGGTAAGAAATGGCATGACACTCAGCCAACACAGTTCATGGCCAAGGAGACGGGGAGCTGTAGTCCAGAACATGTGGTAGGTGTCAGTTCATGCCTGTGATAGTTCCCAGGGCTGAGCTTTCCACAGGTGCAGAAAGTATTTGCACAACTGTATGGAGCACAGAAAGACTGTACTTTTCTGTATCTAAAACCTGCTTTCTATTTATACTATTTATTAAGTGAAAATGCATTACCCAAGGATTATGCACGTGACTCTTCAGCATTACTATATGAACCTGGACCTTGCATGCTGCATGCTCTCCTTCCCTTCAATATTCATTACCTGTGGTGCTTCGCACGTTCGGCAGTACGCCACGGCAGAAAGCCATGCGCTCCTGGGGGCAATGGCTTTGGAGCATAGTTATCTTGGTCCACCGAGGATGTCTTACCAGGACTTGTAGATTTTTTTGAAGAAAACCCTAGAGGGAGAGGGCCAGAACAAAGAAGGTTTTGATACAGGAGTGAATGGTTTTCCACTTTCAGTCTAAAACCTACATAGAGAGCTAGTCGTTTAAGAGAAGGTTTGAAAGTGTGATGTTATCTACAAAAAACAGTCCTAATTCCTTCACTTGTAGTTTATGTTCCATAAGCAGAAGCTACCACGAAACAGTAGCAACTTGGGAAAAATACTGATGACAGAACAACCAATAAGTTTATCTTCCTGTCCATTTCCTGCAACATAGATTCAAAAAATACTGTAGGATTTCCTTATGCAAACAGATGTTTAATATTTCCTTTTCATGTTCACTTGAAAAAGAAATTATGAAAAAAGAAAAAGAAAATAAAAAAAAGAATTTAAGTTGTATCAGGCCGTTCTGATCATATATCAAAGCCCAGAAATTTGTACTGCTGTAAAATACATTTCAGTCACTAAAGCATACTGTTCATGAAATCTCAGTGGAAACTACAATCTCAGCATAAAGTTTCACTTACAGTCAGCAGCTTGACAAAATCTCACCAAATTAAATTGGACTTAATTCCTAGTAAATACGCACAGCCAATTCTTATTCATGTTTATCCAGGAAAGATCCCCTAAGCTCAGTGGAATAGCTACACCCATGACAAACCACACCCACAGCACAATTCAATACATATTTATTGAACAACGCATGTTCTGTGGCTCTTTGTTCTGAAGTACAGTAAATATGTCCAGGATTGCAGCCTTTGTTTTCAAAGATTTTACAGGCAGAACTATTTTTTCCTCTTTTTGCTTACCTCTGTGCCTCCAAATTACTGAAGCAGCAGCAAAAGAAAACAGTCAAAAAAATTAGGCTAGATCATCTATTTTAGAAATATACCATTTTTAAACATTAAGCTGCAGTGGAGGAGTTACCATTTAAGGTTCTCATCCTAGCCTTTCCTGACACCACAGTACACTGCACATTGATCAAATAGTACCCCACTTAACGCAACAGGATCCACTTCTAAGTAAATTTATATTACACTGAAGAAGATCAGTAACTACTCAGCAGTTTTACCTTCGATTTTGGAAGGATGGTGATAAATTAGAGAAAATTTCAGTCACTGTCTAACTGGGTACATCAATATACTATTAATATAATGATACATTTTAGTCATGAGAGAACTGCAGCTGAGAATTTCAGGATGCTAAAGTACAGAAAAAATATGTTTGAGAATCTTTTTCAGTTTACTGAACAGCTCATTAAACACTTTATTTGTTTGTTTATTTGTTTAACTTATATGCCGCCCACTCTACCCAAAGGTCTCTGGGCGGCTTACAACAATTAAAATACAATAAAGATAAAATGATTAAAATACAATTAAAATAGATACTCTAAAAATGCCATCAGGACCCACAGTTGATTTTATTTCAATTAAAAGCCTTCTGGAACAGGAAGGTTTTGACCTGGTGCTGAAATGTCATCAGCGTCGGCGCCAGATGAATTTCAGTCGGGAGGGCGTTCCATAGTCTGGGGGCAGCTGCCGAAAAGGCCCTTTGTCTACCAGCCATCCCTCTTACCTCCTTGAGGGACGGCTCTTTCAAAAGGGCCCCCTGGCTAGATCTTAACTGCCAGGTAGGCTCATACGGAAGGACGCAGTCCTTCCTTTATCACCGCTGTTCTTTTTTCATTATTTTTACAATCTTGCCTCTAAAGAGGTAAAAACACCATTAGTGATTTTATTTTTATTTTGTCTGGTGTTATATTTATTGTAAACCACACAGAATACTGCCTCAGCACCAATGGAAGCAGTATACAACTTAAATAAACAGACAGACAGACAGACAGGGCCTTAGATATTAACTTGTTGATATATGAAGCTATTTGGCATTATCCCCTCGTACAAAGAAAATATATCTAGTTACCAATTCGAATAGTAGCTTTTCCTTTCCTGCCATTTCCCAAAACCACTGTTCTTCTTTTCAGTTTGTTTTTAACATCTTTTGAGGAAGGAGATGGGAGCCACTTGAACTGAAATACAGGAGAAAGGTGGAGTGTTGTTAATGTGCTTCTATACACGTGTCCTTTGAGAGGTAGCATGTATTCATTCAAGCTAATACCAGAATTGATGAAAACACCATTGACATTTAAAAAAATGAGAGAGCATTAACAGCGCCATGCTATATGTGTCTGCACAGAAGTAAGCCTCACTGGCCCGGGATCCTATCACTATCCCCAACTATTGTACACTCCTTGAATCAAAGAGATGTACATCAGTGGTGACTCACCATTCAATAACTGATTGAATGGGACTGCTCTAGTTAGGACTAGCAAGAGAATTGGGGCCAGTGAGTTTGAAGGAACTCACTACTACCCTGTTTCCCTGAAAATATGACCTAACCTGAAAATAAGCCCTAGTATGATTTTTTAGGATGCTCATCATATAAGCCTCACCCCAAAAATAAGCCCCAGTTAAGTGAAACCCCTAAGCCCACCGCTGTGCAGCAACCAGAAGAAGATGACAGGACTGCATTTGAATAAATGTAGATGGTTATACATGAAAAATAAAAATAAAACATCCCCTGAAAATAAGCCCTAATGTGTTTTTTTTTTTGGAGCAAAAATTAATATTTGGGGGGGAAACACGGTAGATTTGTATCTACAGGACTGCTGGCTAACAGCCTTAATTTTTTTCCTATTATCTACAGACCACACTTCCACACACACTACATACTAATTTTCAGCCACTTAGTATCAATTACAATTTGCTACAAAGTATCACAGCGTGCACATGTCAACATTCTCATTCACACTTCAATAGGCAAAGATCTTAAATATGTAAGGCCTCATCCATGACCATTTTCCGGGGCTTCCTTCTGCAGAATATTCAGACTCACAAGATAGATGTACTATTTAAAAAGAAAGCTTTTTTAAATTACCACAGCCTTTATCACAACCATTTTAGCTTTCAGTAATCAGAAACATCTCTCTTTCTATATTTTTATCCCTACAAATATATATTGTTGGGATCATATAAGTAGAAGGTCCTGCAACACATCATAACACCCTGTGTGACCCGACCCTTTGCATATATGTTAACAAAATGCTAAGAATTTCTATCACGATAATAGGAAATGCTAACACATTCTCAATATATGAATTAAAGGGTGATGAAACAGCATCGGTTTTTGATGCAAGCAGAACAAATGTGCCTGCAATATTCCCACTGTTAGACAATCAATGCCACTCTCCACAGTTTGCCCTTTACCACGACACTTCTGGATGTAACTTCAACTAGCTTCAGCTTTTCAGCTAGAAATGATCTATGGCCATGGTTTCAGAGACCAAAACACTGTTGTTGCCCTCGTGCTGTTTTAAAATCTCAAATAAAAAACATCAACGACTGTCTAGGAGCTGGAAATTAGGGACGTGTTAATTCAAAACAGAAGCGTCGCTCTGAAAAGCAGAACCATCAACATGGTTAACAGGCTTGTCCTATGGCACAATCAAGAGGAAGGGTTCCTGCTTGCAGGTAGCCTCTCTATATAAGCAAGAAACATGGAAAATCTGGGTGCTTGTTCCTATCCAGAACCTACACATGACCAAGACCAGAGGTGTCAAACTTAATTTCACCTTGGGCCGCATCTGCTTTTATGGTTGCCCTCAAAGGGACAGTTGTATCTGCAATACTGTATAAATGTTAAGAACAGGAGCGGGCAACAGGGAGGACTACATTTCCCAAGGTGCTGTACGCTGCCCAAGCAGCTGCACTTTCTGACTCTTTGCTGCTTGGAATGCTGGGATTAGAAGTCCCGCTGGGCAGACTCCCAGCATCCTGGAGGAGCATTATGGGTCACTGAGTCAGTGCCTGTGTATTGTATACTGCACGGTAGTAGGCAACACTGCTAGGGCCACATGAAACAGCCTGGTGGGCTGGATTCGGTCCGCAGGCCTTGAGTTTGACACATGTGAGCCAGACCCTTGGCTTCAGGTATACTGCTGCTTGTGTAAGAAAACATGGTTAGCATGTCCCTTTAACTGTGTGACGATTCTGGACTGCAGAACAGAGTAGGGCTCAAGAGTCAAGACCATCTGGTGAGGAATATTCAAGATAGAGTCAGAATTAATAGGCTTGCGAGAGAGGTAATGATTTCACTCTCCCACCCTCCATGAGAAGCCTTCACTAAGCACTCTGAAAAGGCATCTTGATAATATTTGGAAATTTTTTTAAAAAAAATCCTTTGCCTGTTACACCAAAGCACATTCTTACAGGAAGTCCATCGTCCAAAATGTAACCGTCAAAGTGCAACACAACATGTCATGGATTTCATCATACTAGTAGCCAATAGTCCACCCAGAATGTACCTCCACATTTGTTCCATCTGCATTCATAAGAGCCTTTTCTATTATTTTCTTCATTAAGGCATAATCTATAAAGAAAGAGTAATAAGCACAATGATTTGCATATTATTCTAATGTTCTAAGAGCTGAATTTCTCCCCACCCCAATAAAACTGAAGTAAAAAAAAAACAGCTTTGAGCAACCATCTGTATCACCAGGACTAACACGTTGCCCATCTCCACCTTTAATCCTTCTTATTAAACACCTAGTTTCTTTATTATGCTAGACGAGATCAAGGCATGTCCTTCCTTTGTGCTAAATTTAATGCTGGCTAGACCATGAAGAAGGCCCCAACTAACACAGTCATTCTGAGTTCCTCTTACCGGTTCAAATGATTTTGACTCTGAGAACTGGCCCTTCCTGCCAAAAGTCAGCTGCCTGAGGCTACAGTGACCACAGGGAGTTAGATTTAGAGGCTTTAAAACAATGGTGGGCAGTTGCCAGATATCTTGACCACAGGCGCTTCCTTGGAGAGCCAGAACCAGAGAAACAATAGTTCGCTCAAGGCTTTTTGAATAAAAAAGACAGAAAGATGACTTTTGAGGGGGCACTGAGGGCCACATTTGGGCCTCAAGACAACCTGGCAGCTACACTTTGCCCACCCATGGTTTAAATTTGAACATGGCTTGGGGGCTATTCTCAATAAGTGATCAGTGGACAGGAAACTCAATCCAATCTCCTAAGCAGATTTAGGATCATGTGCCCTCCCCCAGTACAGTATGTTTCTCTGTTGCCTAGGACCCTCTTACCCTGTAAATTTTACAGCAGTCAAATTATGAACCGTTACTTCTGGAAGTCCTCAGAGACAGCAGTTCTGTGGAGCAAAGTCTGCCTTCCACCTGGTTTTAACAACAATAACCAATTTCTTTTTTTTTCCAAGCCAGCAGTGTCCACTTTTAAAGGGTCTTTGACAGCACCCAGATAATCCTAGGGCTGGAAACAAGCCCCACACATCCTGCCCATCCCTGCCCTAAAGGCCGAGTGTGGTCTCCTGGACAGCTTTCACTTAAATGCATTTTGGTTACTTTCCTCTGTGTGAGGAAAGTGTTCCCTTTTTCCCCCTTGAACAGGTATCTCTTACTTACTTCCAGATATATTTCTATTGTCTAGTGTGTGTGAACAAAGAGCAAAGCTATGTAAGGGGGAAAAAACCTTGAAAACAGGAATGGGGGAATGCTTAAAGTGTCCCTTTTGACTCCCATTGATGAGAAGAAGTTATCAGTGCTAAGCAATCATGATCATTCTAATACCTTGCTCTGTTCAAACTACAGACCCTCTTAAAGCTAGGATCCTAGTTGTTGAGATGCCACCTCTACCGTAACACTTGCTCAGCCCGTATTATTTTAAGCCACCCTCTCTGGTTTTGCCTCTCAAAAAGAAACTCATAATACGACAAATGCCCTGAATTTTCTAGTGCTTATGCAGGAGGAAAGACTAGTAAGTCACTCCTAACATACACTGCCCTTTTCAAACACAGTCTCTTCTCCTTCAAAGTAGGGAAACAGAAACACACAAACCTACTAAGGGGTTTTTTCTGATGTCCAGAACCACGAGCGTTGTGTTAGTCTCAAAGGCATCCAAGAGTGATCTTGCCCCCTCGTTGGTAATTCCACATTGCTGCAGATCAAGGGCTAGAATATTAAAGAGAGTGAAACATTAAAATTGTCCATTGCTGAACAGAGACACAGCAGGCTCTATGCAGGAAGATGAATGCATTTTAAAGACTCTGTCCTGACCTTGACACTACTGATCCTATAATGATAACAATCGGTGCAAGTATTGCAGTAAGAGGGCCTTCTCTGTGGCTGCCCACAGACTTTGGAACTCCCTCCCCCAGGAGGCCAGACTGGCCCCATTTTTACTCTACTTCCGGAAGCAGCCAAAGACCTTTCTATTCAGGCAAACTTCCCCTTAGTGACCGGCTTCTGAGAAAAGTTTTTAAATGGATTATTGTACTTTACTGCATTGAATGTGTTTTGGTGTTGTTTTTTAGCATGGTATTTGTTTGATCCTTTTAGTATTTGTATACCACTGCTGTTAGCTTTAATACTGTATTTTAATTACATTTGTATACTCACTGCTGTTAGCTTTAATACTGTGTTTTAATTACGTAAGCTGCCTTCAGCCTTTTTGAGGAGGAATGTGGGGTAAAATATTTTTTTAAAAATCCTACACATGCTTTACATATCAAAAGCATTGGGCAGTCATAGAGTCAGTTTTATGTTTGATATGTCTTCACTTGCTAGTTACAGTTTCAGCACAACTCCCGTTCTTACAGCCACCGTTGCTCACTTGAGCGCTTCCACAGTTACCCCAAGAAGGAAAATATTCTGGGAGGTGGAGACTTTTGCAGAGCTCCCACTCTTGCAGTGGGAGCAACGGAAGTCTAGTGGCATTTTCAAGAGTAGCATTTCTGCTTGGCTTTAGAGCTCCCGTGAACTGCAGCCCACATCATCATATACACCTCATGAAGTGGACTGCAGTTCGTGGAAGCTCAGTTCTTAAGGGGAGACTATGTGGGTTTTTTCCCTTCCAAACAATACAATGCTCCTGGCCAAGGAACACAGAAGATAAATGATCCCCATGCTTAGGAAGAGACTCTTGATTCAAGTCTTATTTAGAATTCACATCTTGCTTAATAAATCCCATGGAGATGAAAGGATAGGAAAAAGGGAAGGTGGGAGGGGACAAAGAGAAGGACAACCTGTGTTTAAATGTTAGTTAACCCAGAGTCTGTGCAATTTTGATCACTGATTAAACAAAGCAGGTGAAAAATAAAAAAATTAAAATAATGAGTCTTAATCTTACTTAAAGAACCATGGGAGAAATGCAAGATCTCTCATGGAAAAACAGAGATGATAATTCCCTTCGCTCAGGCCTGGGTCTAGAAAACTATGAAAACGTTGAAATACTCTTCTAATTCGCACACACCTTTCAGCCACAGGTCTTCTCCAAGGCATTCGGCTAAAACAGTAGCCCCACGGTCACCAATAAGGCTGTTGCAGTTGAGAGTAAGGCGCCTCAAGCCAGCCATGCAGTCCAAGTCCGGTCTCCTGTAGCGAAGACTCTCCGCCCAAGCTTCTCCGTGTCTCCTCATTGCTTGGTACTTAGAAGACACCAAGATACAAATAAAAACAGCTACTGAAAAGGCCAGTTAGGAGAAATAAAAGCTGAATGGCCATTATACTGGTGAGATGATAAACGTAACTAAAGCTACATTCCTAAATCATTCTTTACTGGGAAAAATAATCTGATTGCCGTATTTTCCAGTGTATAAGACACTTCCATATATAAGCCCTCCCAAGCTGAATGGCCATTATACTGGTGAGATGACAGACGTAATTAAACCTACATTCCTAAGTCATTCTTTACTGAGAAAAATAATCTGATTACCATATTTTCCAGTGTATAAGACACTCCCATATATAAGACCTCCCGCCCTGCTAATCTTAACTTTGAGGATTCAGCCTCTGGGCTCAGAACACCCAGACATTACGAGTCCCTGTTGCATCTGAGCCTACAGGCTCCACCTCCAACAAGGTGTGTTCCAATTGGTTTGTTAAGCATCACCCAACATCAGTTCCATAAGGCTCGTGACTGGAGGAAGCCTGTTTACAGAGGCAAGGTACGAGGCGTTTTGTTCTCTCTTTAGCTTACCTCTGTGTATAAGACACCCCTCAATTTTTAGGATAATGATTTTAGGAAAAAGTAGTATCTTATACATGGAAAAAATAAGGTAAGTTCCTTACAACCTGGCATTTTGAATAACTTGTCTTGGTGTGAATCACAGGAAATGGAAAAATGTATTTCATAAGATACCACATAAGGTCCCAAATAAAGAGAATGCTTGGGAATGAGCATCTTCATACCAACAAAAATAGTATATGTTTAAAGATAATGACATCATGTTATGGAAAACTGAGGCTGAAATCCTGTTGCTGTAAATTATGCTGCACACAGCTGATGACATCATCATCAGTGCATATTTTTCAGAAATGAAACATTTCCAGTTTCTCCCCCTGAAGCCTCCATGGAATCCTTCTCATCATTCAGGAGATGTGCAAGGCACATTTTTAAAAAGGTCCTTCATGATCAAGAACCACCTCCACCAGGACAATTTTAAGGGCAGCAGCAATTCTTGGTAATTAAAACTTCCCCCTCCTGTCCTGTGGCCCCCAATGGCTTCCTGATGATTAAAAAAATTCCATGAGAGTCTTGCAATCTTTGAGGAAGAAAATGGAAAAGTGTATTTTTTGAACCATTTGTGTGACTAATGACATTCTCAACTGCTGGATTTTAGGATTTTAGTATTAGGCTAAAAGGCTGTGGCGGTTTGATCATTACAGGAGCCGTGGAAATGCTCAGATCTCATTCACTGAGGGCACAGGTTTACCCTCACAAGGGACAATAACGTCTCCTAGAACCTCTCTTCAAATTCCACAGACACATCAACATCCCTTGCTTTTCTGAGGAAAGCTTTTCCAAAAAAAAGGGGGCAGATGAGAGACCTGGTTTGGACAGACTGAGGGAGGCAAAGCTCTAAAGCTGTTTTCCAATATATCCATGGAAAGTTTGCAGCTGGCATAAATACTTCTCTCTCTTCTTCCTTATGCTACAAAGAAAAATGCTTGACAAATCCTCAGATGCGGAATGAGGAAACTGCCACTCAGTTGCTCCCTCACGTCTGGTCTGCTGATATGAACCCAGAAGATTTTAGATGATAACAACAGCGGCAACACTGGGACACTGATTCAAGAATGAGGATTGCCGTTCCAGGCTGCCATTCCATATGCCCTGAATGAGCTGTCTGCAAAGTGGTGCCCTGCACACATTTTGAACCACAACTTTCATAATCATTTCTGACCATTAATCATGTTCACTGAGGCTGATAGAGGTGTCACTTCAATCATCTGGAGGGCATAATTAGGGAAGCCTGCCTTATAGGCATATCCCTTCAAACTCCACCTAGATGTGCTTCCAAGTAAGCATTCTGTGGATCATGCTGAAGGAAAACAACTCAGCACATCCATAGTCAATCCTTTACAAAAGGGGTCCCCAACAAGGAAGCTGATATGTGGATTAAAGAAACAATCATTCTTTTCATATGTAAAAACAGCCAAGAGCATTATCCCAAGGGAAATCAGGTTTCCAAAACACACAGTTAAAATAGGTTTTTACCTTTAAGATGCTGGCCAAGTGTTCTGTTCCCCGCCAGGTCAAACTGCACCCTGTAAAATCTACAGATTTGATGGAAGCAGAATTCTTCAGACTCTGACAAATTACTGAAAATAAAAACAATACATGTCACTAAGTATATCATTATGATTGCTGTCTTTAAAACTCCTAGTTACAAGTTTCCCCCTTTTATTTGTAACTCACTGTGTCCTATAAAATGGAAAATACACGATGGTTTGATTTGTAGTAATTTGAACCATATCTTACTGACCTGGGCTTTGCAAATATTTGTGCAATACTGGTGAAAAAACCAGTGGTTTGACGCCCAACAAGCAGGTATAAAGTTACTTTCCAACTGAGGGCATGTACCATTCCCATGGTTTTAGGACATTGCAAAAATACAGTTTTTGAACATGGAAGAGAAAGTGAATGTCAGAATCAAATTTAATTGGCAGAGGAGCAAAAAACTCATCTGAAGAATGTTGGAAGGAACGGAAACTCTAATACATAAAAGTCCAGGATCTGCAGTGCTTCTCCAAAGAGTTGAGCAAAAATTTGTTTGGGAAGTTGCCCAGAATAATTAGGAGTTACTAGAAGCGGGATTAACTCAAACAGCTAGTAATGACAACACATGCCAGCAACCAGGAACTATAAAGCAAAATCATCTCTTATGGGGAAAAGGCTGAAAAACGGTCATCATTCAGCTACCGAGGACAGCATGTTTCTTTTCATTAGAATTTTAGACAAGGTGTATTGGTTGGTGCCTCTGTGGGACAAAATTGTTATTTTGCCATGATAAGACAGTTTCAGGCAGGCAGAAAACCACCTTATTGGGTACTTGCCCTGCCAAAAGACTGATTATGCATACAGAAATAGCAGTTATGTTGCTTTCTAATCAAAAACATGTGAGACATTTATTTATTTATTTAATTTATATCCCGCCCATCTAGACCAAAGTCTACTCTGGGCAGCTAACAGCAATCCATAAAGTAATAACAGTATAAAATAAAACAACCGCATTCATATAATTCAAGACAGCAAGAATGAATTAAGTAATGACAGGAGGGAAGGCCTGCCTAAAGAGCACCTAGCACCTCAAATGAAAGCCCTCTGAGGGTATTCTTTTTGGCTGCGATTGCTGGCCCTACACAGCTGACCACATTCGCCGTTATCTATGGCCTCTGAAACAAGAAGCCTATGTACCCATAATGAATCATTAATTTAAAAGCTGCAGACTTCTCAAATAGGCAGGGAGTCTGACCTATAAATAAGGAGCTCCCAGTTTCAGACCTTCACCTAACACTTGGAAACTACAGAGCAGAAGACATGATCACAGGGGTTAGTCTCCAGGCGTGATCCATCTCTCCTTCTGGTTGCTGTTATGTACAGTCAAATTCCTTACAACTTATGGCAACCCTAGTAGGGTTTCTAAGGTATGTGAAATGTTCATGAAGTGGTTGACCACTGCCTCCCCACGCCAACTTAGTTCCAACAACTGAGCAAAACCCAGGTCTTCTGAGTTCTAGTCACTAAACCATACTGGAACGCCTATCCTTCTCACACAAATGCAATTAAGAGAGAGGAAGATACCTGAACTTTATATACCCCGTTTTCCCCGAAAATATGACCTAACCTGAAAATAAGCCCTAGTAGGATTTTTCAGGATGCTCGTAATATAAGCTCTACCCCAAAAATAAGTCCTAGTTAAGTAAAAACCCCACCTCCACCATTGTGCAGCAACCAGAAGATGACATGACTGTATTTGACTAAATGTAGATTGTTGTACATGAAAAAAATAAAACATCCCCTGAAAATAAGCCCTAATGCATTTTTGGAGCAAAAATTAATATAAGACCCTAATTTATTTTCGAGGAAACAGGGTAGATATCTATTGAAATTTCAAATACATTTGCTGCTTCTTACAAGATACACCTGATTACCAGCACACGCAAAGCAATTACTCGGAAATCAAAACTGAACATGGTCCCTACATCAACCTTCTGCTTCTATGTTGTAAAAAAGAACAATTATGACTACCTATTAGCATAGCTAACAATGTATTAAATTATAATTAAATTATAATTTTGAGGAATGATTTAAAGGGTATAGGACTAATATTTTTAATTCATCCAATTATTCTAAGAACGTTCAATAGAATAAAATCAAGAGGTAAATGGAATGCTCCATTTCATTTCAAATATGAAAAAATGCTTTATCGTGCCAACGGAAATAAATCAAGCTATAGAGCAAGCATTACACTAATTCTACCTATTGAAACAATATGGCAAATGTACATGACTTGGCAAAAACGGAGGCTAGATCTAATATATTCTACAACTGTACTGCTAAACATATAAATCGTGTTTTTCTTTAATTAGGACTTACTTTCCAAACCTCCATCACCAATTGGTGAGTGTGCAAGAGATAGTCGCTGTAATGATGCTGTGTTAGCCAACCCCTTAAAAATTAAAAGAAAATTTAGTAATTTTAAAGCAGGTACAAGATATCAGTATCTCCCTAAAAGCACCCATTAGTTAAATTTGAGAAATCTTACTTTTGTCAATAATATTAAGTCTTTCTCTCTCAACAGCAATCCCTGTAGCTCCAGGTTTCCCAAAGCATTTGATACTGTCAGGCAACCTTTGATAGCTTTACATAGCTGGCTGGTTAAGTCTTTGGATCGAACTGCTGGAATTCTCCTTCTTATATATGGACCTTGCCTTTCACTGCCTATCAGATAAAAAATCAGATTACATCCTTTTGGGAGTCAATACATAAACAATATGCAAGTAGTATCAGACTTAGTTCTTTATATAGGCAGCTCGCATTCCAATTTCATTCTGCATAGCAAATATATTATTTCTGCAAGCCTTTGAGAATACAGTACATAGATCTTACGTCCTTTGCATTAGTGCCACTGTGGCCAAAATGTTTCAAAGAGTAGCAGCATGGGTCTGTTTCAGCAGGAGGAACGAAGTCTTGTGGCACCTGATGAGACTAACCAGCCACATGCTGGAATAAGCTTTTGTGGACTACATCTCTCTCCATCAAATGAACTGAGGGCTGCACTCCAGAAAACCCTTGGCAAAGAAAAGCTTTAAAGTCCACAAAAGATCTCACTGCAGAACCAGAGGCTGTGGTTTGAAGATGAATGTAGAATGCCAAGCGTGGCTACATGCATTTCGTTATTCGTTAAAGATGGTCTATGCCCCAATAACTTGTGGCTACCTATATTACTTGAAGAAAGATGTCTTTGCCACATGTCTTTGTCTATGGCATAAGGGATTTACAGAAAAACTACATCTCTTATGCTTCTCTATGGATTTCCTACTGAGACAGCCTCAAGGTAGCATTATACCAATACTTATTCAACGTATTAAAGATACCTTCAATACTCTCTAGCTTGTGCAGACAGGACTTGTTCACCACTCTGTTCTGGCTGAAATTTTAACTTCCCTAAGCAAGCTAACTACTTATCCCAAATAACAGCACCAAGATATCGCTTTGCCTTTTTCAAGGGCTAGGTTTAACTGCTTTCCATCAGCCCTTTTAAAAGGGCATTTAAATAACACCCCATAAAGTGAAAGGATTTGTCCCCGCGGGAAATAAATTATGGAGACCTTGGTGCACATAATTTTAGAATGTAGCTTATATAGGATCAAACACATTCGATATCTTGGTTCACTCATGACTAAATGTACTGGTCTACCTCCCACAAGCTATCTGAACTTTCTGTTGTTTGGAGAGAATCAAAGAATTACACAGTTAGTGGCTAAGTTTTTGTTTTCGGCTATGAGAACTGGCAGAATGCTGTAACAAAATTTTATAATATGTTATGTATTTATCTTATTTTTGTATGAACAGGTCTATGGCCGCACAATAAAACTATAACTTTAACTGACTCCTACCTGAATCTCCATACCCTTGATGGTGAAAGCTCTTTATGGCAATAGACGTCAAAGTCTTGTTTTGCTTGATAGCGGTCAGGAGGGGGACCCAGTCAGCAGCTTTGATACGATCTGCATTGATATCAAGAACACCTTGAAACTTCTTTGCTTTCACAGATGCTAGAGGGGGGCAGCCTTGAACTGCACAGAGGTGCTCATAATGAGAGTAAAAATCCAAGCTGCACTGTCTCCTTATTTTGACTGAGTCAATCATTTCTCGTCATGCGTTGAGCTGGGATTCCAAACTAAGAAGAGAAAAACAAAATGCCAATATAATCCAAACATCTTTTATCACCCAATATTTGACACAGGCTATACCGAATCCACTACCACTGTAGCTCCCCTTGACACTGCTTTTCTTCATACCAGGCAACTGAGGAGGGATAAAAAATAGTACAGGAACACCTTGCTTGGCACTCAGAATATATTTCATTAAAGCATATAAAAACACATGCACTTCAAATTCAGCCATACATGGTTCACTCCAATCTAGCATACATATTGCCTTCCCACTTTTATCTTAACACCAATCTAACTAAAGCCTTGGGTTAGAGTTGATTCAAAATAAAGACTCTGAAGCGGCTTCAAAGCAGATGCTCCCTAGTGGGTGCTTGTTACACATGAAGTCCAGGACTGAAAGGGGTCCATCTAGTTCCTCACTGGCAATATCAAGACCAAAGCTCAACAGACCCAGATTCCCCCATCATCCTGCCACTCTTTTTGGAATGCATAACATTACTCCCATTCTGAGACACACTCCACCTCGGGCACCCCACCTCTCCTTTCTTCCCATCCTAAACAAACACCAAAGGCCACCGTCTACACTGTATGCATGGACACAGCAGTCTGAAAATCCAGCAAAAAGCAGGTAGATCCTTGAGGTGGGGGGCTTTACCTGTTGAATCACACATCCCACCACACAGGAAGAGGAAGGGGAGCAAAGTTTCAATATTTTTAGAAGTAAAAAGTTTAAAAGGGGGGGGGTTAAAACAAAATAAACATAAAAAGTAAAAAAAATTCGTGGTGGCCCCTTAAAAACTAACTTTAATATTTTCTGATGTGAGCTTTCATGGACAAGCCCACTTAATGACGAAAGTTCGCCTCACAAATTATAAATATTAGTCTTTTAAAGGTGCCACCACGTGTTTGTCTTTTTTTTTTTACTGCCCCCCCCAACAATGCTTGCACAGAGCGAATTCAAAAGAATGAGTGCTGCTGGTGGTGGGGAGGGCGGGAAAACTAACTGGGGGTGGTGGTTGGGGGATTCTGGGTTTTGTAGTCCCTTCTAGGATCCCGCTCCTCAAGAGCAGGCGCCTTTGCCAGTCGGCCGAGAGGAGGGAGAGCAGAAGCCCACACACACACACATACACAGCAAAAGGATGCGTCCCACAGCCTAGCCTTGCCTCTCCCCCCCAAAAAAAATGCACCTCCGCCTCACCTGCCGGGGACCCACCTGGCGGCTTCGGCCTCTCCCTTCCCGCCCCGCGCGTGCCAACCGTCGCCTTGGTTGCCCAGATTGGCCAAAGCCCTCGAGGGGGAAGGTTGCCAACGGCAACCGAGCGCACGCGCGCGATACCCCCCCTTCTCCGCCCCCCCTCCCGTCTGTTATTTTCCAGCCTTCTGGGAATTGTGGTCCTCTTTGTCCAGACACACACAAAAAAGGAAATGTACAGAATCATAGAACAGGCGAGCTTTCATGGATCAAGATGGGATCTGCTAGGAAAATGAACTCTTCGATGTCAAGTCCAAAAGTTCTTTGCAAGAGGGATTTCTCCGGGCACTTTTTTCTTAGGTGGAAGTCAGGAAAAGAGGCTCATCATCGGTCAAAATAGTTAATTAATTTATTTATTTGATTTATATGCCAGCCACACTACCCAAAGGTCTCTGGTTCCTACTATATGAACATTTGACACGTTTCTAGGAGGCTAGGATGTGGCGTTACAGGGGACAGAACGGTGTCTTTCAGATAAATTAACATTTAAATAAATAAAATAAAGCTCTTGCCAAAGCAGGCAAGCTGATTGGGAGCATACATGCGCTTTTTTAAAAAGCAACCTCAGCAAGAGTCATCTGCTCTTAAAAAATCGACAAAAGCTTTCTCCACACTCCTTAAGTTAAAAAAAAGAAAAGAAAAGCACCTTTGGCTTTCTATATCCCCTTTTTTGGCCATGAAGGACTTCCCACATTTCCCTGGCGGGCTCAAGCAGGGGCCTTATATAAAATCCAAAGCTAAAACGAGGGCAAAGATACACGTTTGGAGAGAGAAAGCTCTCAAGCAGCTGGAATTCATTGGTCAATTTTTTTTTCATGACCTGTAAGAACAGCTGGATTCCCTCTCACTTTCTCCTGATGTGACACAAACTGCATAAATGAAGGGTGAAAATGAGTGGTGGAAGCCTCCACTAGAGCTGGCAGAGGCATAGCTGGGCCAGACCTATAAGCTGATGATCCAGGATCGCTACAGACGCTACATGACCTCCTAATTAGTGGTTGATGTTGATCTGCTGTTTTAGGTGACCCTATAAATCAGCGATCTCCAAAAAGGTCTTATCATTAACAGCCTTGCTAAGGTCTTGCATAGTAAAGGTCATCACTTCCTTTACTGAATCAAATGCTCTCATATTTAGTCTTGCTGTTTTCCTACTACCTTCAGCTTTTCCCACCGTTGCGTTTCCCCCCCCCAATAAACTTTGTTTTTCTTATATGTCCAAAGAACAGTTTTAAATTAGTCATTTTAGCATCTTCTGAGACTTGAGGCTTGATTTGATGCAGCACCCATTTGTCTGTCCTTCTGGCAGTCCATTGTATCCACAAAAACTCTCCTCCTACACCACTACCAGGGGAATTAAGGCATTTTAATTATCCTCTCCGAAGCAGAGCAAGGAACAACCGAGGATGACTTCCTTAAAGGCTGAGCTGAAGTCATGCTGGCAGCTCAATTAATGTTTTGTTGTTGTTGTTTAGTCGTGTCCGACTCTTTGTGACCCCATGGACCAGAGCACACCAGGCCTGCCTGTCTTCCAGCGCCTCCCGGAGTTTGGTCAAATTCATGTTGGTCACTTCGACGACCCTGTCCAGCCATCTCATCCTCTGCCCTCCCCTTCTCCTCTTGCCTTCACACTTTTCCAACATCAGGGTCTTTTCCAGGGAGTCTTCTCTTCTCATGAGATGGCCAAAGGATTGGAGCCTCAGCTTCAGGATCTGTCCTTCCAGTGAGCACTCAGGGTTGATTTCCTTCAGCATGGATTAGTTAATGTACTGAGAAAATTAAGATCTTGTGTAACCTCTAAAGGCCTGTGCTTGTTAACTCAATCATAAGCCCCCCCCTTTATGAAACATACCCTACAACCTCGAAAGGCCTGTGCTTGTTAACTCAATCATAAGCCCCCCCCCTTTTTATGAAACATACCCTACACATGGTACCGCTTTTGTTTCTCTCTCGCCTTTCTTTACACTGCAACATAATTAGTGGATTCTGGCCTGTGCACGACTAAACGACTGAACACACACACCCTACACATGGTACCTCTTTTGTTTCTCTCGTCTTTCTTTACACTGCACATAATTAGTGGATTCTGGCCTGTAAAAAGATGCCAAACTACACGTTAGTCCCCCACATGTCACTTTATTCTTATGTGTGTTATTTCATACATATAATTCAAGTCTAATTTTGGATTATAATTTGGCAAGATGATTAATTTAGAATTAACTTTGTACTCTAATTTGATGCTAGCTTGCCCAACAAAGACAAATTATTACAGTTAAAAAGAAACACTAAGGTATTCCATATTCTCTTTATGGTAAAGTTATTACAGTACTTTTTGATGTACAGAACGACTAAACTGAAACAAGGAAACATTTTTTAGGCACTTTCACACAGTTTATTAAACAGACAGTGCTGCAAGGAAGTTTTCTCTTTATTTTAGTGATGAAACCCTTCCAATGAATGATAAACCATAGCGTCGGCAAACACATCTGTATTTTTATTTCACATGACAGGCGGATCAGCAATTCATTTCTGTACAAATACACAATATTTACAACATTGTCACTGGCACTGACAATATTTGATGTACACATTATTGTACAAAATGGGAAGCGGCAACGTAATTGTGAAAAATCTCAAAAGCAGAATCCATGGTTCTAGCATCTTTTTCGGAAAGCAACGATATTACGCAACACCACACAAGGGTCTCGGTGGGAAAAGAAATGAAAGGTTGTATTACATACAACATGATGGGCATAATGGTCTAGGGCAGGGCTTCCCAGCCGTGGGTCCCCAGATGTTCTTGAACTACAACTCCCAGAAATCCTGGCCAGCACAACTAGTGGTGAAGGTTTCTGGGAGTTTTGGTCTAAGAACCTCTGGAGAATCCGATGCTGGAAAATCACTGCTAGGGCAACCTTGGAGCTCCATATGTTCTTGGACTATAACTCTCAGAAGCCCCACACCAGAAAAGCCAACAATCAGGTTTTCTAGAAGCTGTAAGCTAGAACCCTATTGGTATTTGCATAAGTTTTGTGCAACTAACTGCAGAAGGATCAGGGTGTGTCTCAGTGGCATGTCTGGTCAATATCCCTGACAACACAAGGAAGGTGCACTTGGGCACGTCATTAATTGGCCACGGCAAGTTGATCAAATCTTATGTGCACACCAATTTCATTCCAGTCATAGGCCAAATAACACCTAAGGTTCCAAGTCTGGGAAGCAGGTTCTAGGTTCATATTATTAGTGTTCGGATTGTTTTTCAAAATGAACATCGGCATACATAAGTGAATACAAACCAGGGCACTTTACATGCAGATAGCTGAACCAAATATAATTTGGCCTTCACTGAGAAAAGACTTGTTATACATACACTAACACACTAAATGCACAACTTGAGTGTCACCATTATTACACTTAAGACACCTTAGGAATTAAAATGGACAGAGTGGACAGCACTGCACCACAAACTTTGAAGGACAAAGCTTAAGTTTTTTTTAAAAAAGTCTATATGGGATGCAATAAACTTTTCTATGGTGTTTAGGTATTTCATATTCCAGTACTGTACACCTGGAATAGAAACAGCTTAAATCAGGAGAAGAGTCTCAACAGTTTCTGATTTTTACAACATTCAAGCAGGACCGCTGTCTTTAATTAGGTTTAATAACTGAACAAGTGTCCTATTCTGCAGGCATGTCATCTTCAGAGAACTGTGTAACTCCAGACAAGATGATCTGGTGTGAAAGATAGGTTTGAATCCAATCTTATTTTACTGTTCTCCTGTTCTGGTGCAACAAATAGGACTCGTGAAGAAACTGGGACGGCATCAATGAGTGAGACACGGCTATGATTTGCCATGAAGAACACTGCCACGATTGTCATTCAAGTAATTACCCGTACAACTCAGCAGTATTTAATACAGCACAATTAATTACTTGGACAAAAGTTTACTGATGTCTCGATGATTTAACACAAACACAAAATGGTGCTCCTTGAATGTCACATCAAGGTAGTTAATAATTAGAATAATTAGAGAGCATTACTGGAATACTGATTAGCTAATTGGCTTTTGGTGCAAGCAGAACATCATGACCTTCAGTTATTCTGTGCAACCAGCATGGTGCCATGATTCAATGGAAGCCCTTGGCTACCCAAGTCGTTCATTAATTTTACTGCAGTTCAACCCTAATGTTAGAATATTAGGAGTTATCTGAGGGATCACGTTGTTGTCATGATTTTTTCCTTCCCGTCTTTCAGCAATGATGGTTTTCTTGAGCCACAATGGCCGCTGTTATTCTCACACACAGTTGCTTTATTATAAAGGGAGCAATGGCTCTGTTCAAAACCATCATGATGATATGTCATCTGGACACATACCAGTTTCTTTAGCGGTATCACTCCACGCTCCTTTAATGAAGGTTGAAATGAAAAAGTTTTCTAACTGGGCCAGGAACTCTTCAGCAATAAAAACATTTGCTACATTGTCCAGGGTCTTCCTCATACACTGCAGCAGCTAGTTTAAAGTTGAAGGACAAAGCAAAAAAAGAAATAAATCACCGCTTAAGTGATGTTTACAAGGAAAACCTACTCGTAATCTGTGATAACTCTACAAATATATTAACACCCTGGGGGTTATTCACAGCTATAACAATGCAATCAAAAGATGCCAACTGTTCAGTCTGCTGATAACAATGTAAAATGTCGTCATATACACTTCTATTAGCATACGTCTATACGAACAAGCCCTTAAACATGTTCAGGTTATAGAGTCAAACCATGCCATGCACACACCTATATATGCAATATGTCCAATATTAAAGGAGGTGCAAAATCTCTGAAAAGATGGAAGTCAGAAACACCTATCCCAAGTGTGTGCTACAAAGATTGTTCAATATGCATGTAAGAAGAATTTTTAAAAGTCCTTCACTCTTTGAATACCTCTCTCTGCAGTCCAAGAGAAAAAAAAGTTCAACACTGCATTTTTAGATCTGACCCCCCCTTACTGCCCCTGTTACACTTTTGTTCAATTATTGAGCTAAATACCTTACAATGAACTGGCAGCAAAAAAAGGACCTTAGCTCATGATTTATACTTCAGCATTCATATACCTAAATCAAATTATCTTCCTATAAAGCCAGTTTGGAATCTAAGATGTTTTACAACAAAGTGCAGCAATAATGCAGGAGGGAGAACATCATATTTCATGTGCTGGATCCTGTATTTAAGTACAGCCACTGCATTCAATGGAACTCACAACAATCTAGCTTCAGGTTTACTCGCTAGAATGCTCTTGCTCATATATGTGAGCATCATTGCAAGAAGATCAATCACTGCAATTAGTCAAGGACTTGATACTTGTATCTCTCATGTCAAGTCACACAACTCACACATGATAAAAACAGCTCCTTAACTAGCTACAATTCACCACTGTGATTTACATTGTTGGACTTATGGGGGTATATTCAGGCACCAGGATTCTGGCCACTAATTTCTATGGATGTACTCTCTGATCCAGACTAAGTCCAGACCGAATCTCATGCTCCTGTTGCAACCACGTAAGACTGGGTAATTTTAAATATGAAACAAAGAATTGATGATGATCACCTTTTGCAGACAGGTCAGGTCTGAATCTCGGTGGAAGATTTTATCCATGGGCACCCAGCTATTGTAATACAGAAATAAAAAGGTCAGGCAATACACAGAAGTATTTGAAACAAAAGATATATAATCATTTGGGATTGGTTCATTAAAATCTTGTTATTATATTTGAATAGTTTTAAGCTGCACAGAGACCACTGGGTAGTGTGGGCGGCATATACCGTATTTTTTGCTCCATAAGACACACTTTTTCTCTTCAAAAAGGTGGGAGGGAAAGTACATGCGTCTTATGGAGTGAATGCAGTAACCCAGGGCTCAGCCACCACCACCCAAAAGCCTCCCACTGCCATG